GCTTTCGGCTTTCATAAACCATCATCAAAGATGACAAATACATTACAATATATTAAACAATACACGGACATTGCAATAATGATAGTCTGTTGTTTTTTTTACATGAAAGATTTCCGATCAACGATAAACTCGTGCATACGAGTCACTGGAAGGGAAAATCGCACCACGGCTCATGATGTCACACATTATCACGCGAGAGTGAAAACTACAAGTGTTAAGTATGGGAAGCATTTGGTATAAACCAATTACTTGTGTAGCAATTGAGTATATTTGTGGAATTTCATAGTTTATTTTGTTCAAGTTAGTTTTTAACTTTTTTATGTATATAGCTTCCAGAATTTTTAGTTTTTGTTTATTGATTTCATGCATAAGTATACTCTTTTTTTCAACAAGGATGTTCCGGAATAGTGTATGTGCCCAGGCATATTGTCTTAAATGCCGAAAAATGTTATCATTTTTATCGAAATTGACAAAAAATGTAATCATTTTTATTTTGTATAGAGTAATCATTCAAATGTAGATGCAAACGTCGTGAAAGCGAGTTTGTGGTGTGACCAACATAAATGTTATTTAATCCGTTGGAAATACAATCTTGTATTTTTAAAGTATGTTATATATATATATATATATATATATATATATATATATATATATATATATATATGGTACAACATACGAAAATATGTTACATGTCTGAGCGCAAACTTCAGGTCAGTTCTCTGATTAACTTAGTGCTGAAATTTATGTTTACACAGGTATCCTGACGATTGCATCTACCAGGTAACAGACTGCCGCCTGTACGTGTTGACTTCTATGTTCACTTTTATATTTACACTCGCTCTATGTCTATTAAGCAATTTATCCCATAAATATAGCACATATTAAGACTATATATATATATATATATATATATATATATAGATAGATAGATATGCCATTTAATGGACTTTGAAATTCGAAAGATTTACTTACTGCTATATGCTTTGAATTTAGTCGGTTCACGAGGTTGTATAATAATCCATTTTTAATAGCGAAATCTATATCTAGCAGCAACGATATCGAATGATCTATTAAAGTGGCCATACAATTTTATTAAGTCTTTCAATCATACCCTTCTTTGTCAAATATATATATATATATATATATATATATATATATATATATATATATATACCTTTTTTCCACGACTTTTTTTCATTACATCATATACTTAGCGCCGCACATTGTACACTTAAAATCTTCGTCCGACATTTTTTTTACTACAAGTTTGCGAGACTTCGTTACCCCTACCCACCCTAATAGTCTCTTCATCTATGTTTAAATTCTCTCCCCAAGTATGACACACCAAAGTAAATTGACCTGCCGAACGCTTACCCCGATCGCAATTTTAAATTTAAAATTATTTCCATAAAAAGTTTGCATATATTGGAATCAGACAGAGAAATGGTTTTTGCTAACATTACGATTTCACTGGAGGGGTTGTGTGTAATGGCCTTGATTAGACTCTTGATCACGCCAGGTAATACACTCTCTCACAGAAACTGAAACTAAGGTCCGCTCAGCATAATTGCAGTATAAACCACAAACGGTCTCTGTGCATCTTGAATAAAGACAAATGGGGCTAAAGCAAGTGTCTTCAAATAGAATGGCTAGCAGATTTATGCAGTCAAACATACTCGGATACGAATCTGTTAAGGGGAGATATGATATTTTATAAGGGGCCCATTTCATGTGTTATGGCGTCTGACACTGCGTTTCTTTATGAGGTCTACATAGGAGATGTATATGGTAATGCAGCATCTCATTATTGTTCTTGGATTCTTTGCTGTAATTCCGTTGATAATGTACAAGTTTCGCAGGAAAAGACTAAGACTGAGAAGGTCAATACTCGCAGATGTCGGATATTTGATTCCTTGTAGATATTCCATTTTGTTTCTTTTTGTTCATTTTGTTTTCTTTATACCATTTAACTTTCATTATATCTTGGAAATAATGTTGAATAGTCCCCTCTTGATTTCTCTAGAGAAGTCAAGAGGAATTTACTCAACATTATTGAATTTGAACATTTGAGGTTGAATTCATAGTTCATTTTATTTGTTAAGTTGTAATTACCATGAACTGCTTGCAGTATAGTAGAATGGTAATTTGTTATTCAGATATGTCCTTTTATTAGATTGGCTAACAGAAGTGGCTACAAAGCTCAACCCCCTGTTATTTAACAAAAAGCTAGATGTGATGGAAACTAGATGTATTCCTACCAATCTACTTAAAAAATCTACTCATGATTATCTCATTATTTGCCATGTCAAATTAGAATTTAATTTATGTTATTGTCAAAATGTGTCTTTTGAATTTTAAATTGTTTTAGAAAATAAAACATTCTAGCGTTTATAATTCCCCTTATTTTTGCTAGAACAGAAATGTTTCTAATGGTTATATTCACCTATACGGTCATCTCACCCTTTCAAATTTCTCATTTGGGCAATAATATATTTACTTTAGTTTCAAGTTTACATTGTCACTAATGCATTTTCCATATCCGCAGTTGGCAAATTCTTGCACAACTTAGCAGGTCTGTGTACGGCATCATCTCAATTACAGAATGAGCTTTACTTCATTGGCTCTCCAAATGATGCAAATATAGTTTTATTGTTAGAATTATCTTCACAAATAGTATGTATCTATAGACCTCATAGATAGGAATACTATTTTCATTGGCACTAATATTACAATTTCAGTGTTTATTTCATTTAAAAGCCGTGCCCTCATGGAAAATCAATCTTGCTTACAATGAAATCATAGTTACTTGCACACATATAGATGTATGATCATATAGGACGCAGTTGATATCATTTTTCAGAGTTTGTCTTAGTAATTGATTTATATATATATATATATATATATATATATATATACTAGCAGAATGGTCCGGCGTTGCCCGTGGCTGATTCAAAAATCATACAACTCATAGAGCAATCACTATCACTTGACTTAAAATATTTTTGCCCTTCCTTGCCTTTAAAGGAGTGCCCTTTGCCGGGCTGATGTTGCTACATGCATTACATCTTGCCAATCTCACAGTGAGAATTTTTTAAAACTCTATACTAAACATTAAATCTGTTACGAAAAAAGAACTAAACAAAATGAACACAAAACGATCAGCTTTAAAAAAGGACTCATAACTGAAAAGACCGAATGAAAATGAATGTTAACAACAAATACATTTTCACACCCTACCCACTTCTGCGGAATCAGAATCAAGCAAGCGAATGATCCAATTGGAGTAAAGTGCCATGCAGATTTAAATTTTTCCCACTTGTCACGAATGCAGCTATCTAATTTTTGCCTGCTAGCATGGTAGTTGACATTCGTGTCAGTCAGCTGTTGGCTCTCACGCTGGCCAATAGAATTTACCTGTCTATTCGTGGCAGCCATCTATAGGCTCTCACTGTGACCAGTAGAAAATGGCCGCAAACTATGTGAAAAATGGCGTAGAAGCATGAAAAAATCGATTATTTCAACTATCGATGGGAGTTGGGAAATGCAAAGTCGGTTCTTGCCTTTCCACTAACTTGGAGAATGTGCATGAAAATTTTGGTGCAAATCCGTCGAAAATTGCGGCCGTGCATTCGTTACACACACACACACACACACACACACACACACACACACACACACACACACACACACACACACACACACACACACACACACAGACACATCCTGTCCTTTAAATATATATATATATATATTACCAGACAATAACTTTTAAAACATTTCCCATGCCAAAACTTCTGAGAAATGAGAATGTTGTAAAGCTAGTGTCGTTGCCATACTACAAATTCGACTATTCTTAATGGTCCCAGTAATGTATTCAACCTCATAATAGAAACATTATTTTATTTTACTTAAAGTAATTCTTATGAATGAGATTATATATATTTCTATAAAGGATTTCATACTGTATAGCATATTTTCTATTTATATATGAAAACATCTATATGAGATGAGAAGACACGGGATTCAAGAATATCTCTTCGTGTGCTCCGTCAATCCGATCTAGATGGTTATAGAACAGAAACACTGACAAAGACAAAACGTATTTGAATTTGACATTATAAATAATTTGATATTATTCTACAGAGAACTGCAAGAAATAAATTGAACATCTGCATGACAGGTAAAAGTGAGTTTTATACAATGTTTTATTTGATTAAACATTAACTCTGATTATTGTGATAGATATTGTGAAACATTCCAAATTGGCGATTTGTTATCAAGGCGATATCCAATCGTCCTAATATAACATTGACATACAAATAAAGTTTTGTATTAGTAAAGAGAGCGTGTAAATAATAAAATGAAACATTTTAAATCAATAAGAGAATACAAAGATAACGAGATAAAATGAAATATTTTATTAATAATAATAATAATAATAATAATAATAATTATAACAATAATAATAATAACAATAATAATAATAACAATAATAATAATAATAACAATAACAGCGTAAATATTTCAGGAAGCAATAACCAACAATAAAAAATGTATTTGGTAAAATACCACTCAAGCCTAAAGTGAACTTGTTCAACGTTTATCATCAAAAGCAATTTACAGACCTTTCTGCATTTACTGAAACAATACTGTCGAAAGTATTTGGTTGTGTTGGAACACGGAGTATACAAACACTCGTCAAAAGATTTTGAAAAAATGGACCAATGAGTAGAGAAACATTTGCCAGAAGACATTTTGCACACATGGACCATTGTGTATAGAAACACTTGTCAGAAGACATTTGCAAACATGGACCACTGAATACGCAGACACTTGTCAGAAAACATTTGCCAAAAATGGACCATTGAGTTTAGAAACACTCGTCAGACGACATTTTGCAATCATGGACAATTGAGTATAGAAACACTCGTCAGTAGACATTTGCACTCATGGACAACTGAGTATGCACTCCTCAGATGACATTTGTAAACAATGAATTTTCAGCAGGAAATGAATAAACCTATGACAACTGAGAGATGTTGAGATAGACAATAACCGACACGTTTGTTTGAAAGAATGGGCCAACTGAATTGTGTTCTGTTAATATCAAACCTCTGATAAGGCCATGATGGGAATGCGCTTTGCAACAGATAACAGAAGAAACCAACGAATTTAAAGATTACCTTGAAGAATTATAAATTTTGAGAGTAATTTACAATGTCAAAGGTATTTTCGTCAATTTCGGAGAAGTTAATAAAGTTTGCTGTCCTTTTGAGATAATTATCCTATTCGATATGATATAAGTGCTCTCATATATATATATATATATATATATATATATATATATATATATATATATATCGCAACTGCATTTCCTATATATTGGGAATAAAATGTGAATTTGATTTTATTTGTAGCTTATAAACACTCATAAAGAAAATCATCTGATATTATACTAATTCTGAGGGAAAATCAATCATTAAGAAGCCAGTAACTGGGGTGTAAGTGATGAATTCGCATATTTACCAAAGGTATTTTTACGTAAGTGAATATAATGTAACCGAATGGAATTCGAACTCAGGTCTCTGCTTACTTCATTCCCTGACACCACAATACACAGCGCGTACACATACAGTGAATAGAATGCTTAATGACCGTAGACGACGCCCCCCCCCCGGGCTATATATTTTGAATCATTTTTATCACTTCATTTAGTAGAAGCATGCAGTTTAGGAGATTTATATTCTAGTAGAGTTACTATCTATATTGTCATATCTATCTATCTATCTATATATATATATATATATATATATATATATATATATATATATATATATATGTGCATGTGTGTGTGTGTGTATCAGAGACACATAATACTCTCTTCAAAGCAGCTGATATAAGTTTATATGCCATCAAGATATCACTTACGCGAAGCGTGGTAAAGAAAGAAAACTTATACTCTATTCTCCTTCATGAGATACTTTTGTCACCGGGTACAAACCAGATATATTTACACGTGGAAATTGTTTTTTGAAATCACACTCACTTGCATAGATGCATACAGAGAATATTATATATATATATATATATATATATATATATATATATATATATATATATATATATATATATATATAAAAACATGTTTGATAAAAAACAACCCACTTAATCTGTTTGCTCAAGTATCTTATTATATTTTCTTACCTTTCGAATACGATTTTTTGTATTGTGTCAGAAACTGTAGATACATTGTCCGAATTACAGTTTATCCACAACTTTGAACAATACGCAACTTCTTAATCGAAAACCGGAAAAATATAAAAAATATATAGAAACAGATGTTGTAACTTCATTTTATTTCAAATTATTTTGATGAATGCATGCTACCTAAGTATACTCCATTCAAACACACACAAAAATATATATATATATATATATATATATATATATATATATATATATATATATAGCATCCTCAGACAGGTATGCCGATGCTCACGAACAATTATAAATAAATATTTTACTTTTTATTATTTTAAACTATTTATCTCTGCGTGAAAACGTTTCCATTTGTTTTATCAAGTCAATTTGCTTTAAATTTTAACTGTCTGCCTCATGGCTTCGTTCGTAAATCATTTTTGTCGTGCAACACTGTTATCCTGTTAAAAGACTGGATTACAAATGCTAATTTGTCCTAGTGCCGTCGTGCAAAATCTTTCTAATTATTTACTAAGTTTAAGGTTTTCGCTTTAACTTACTTTCTACCGAATTATGAATCTCATAATTAGATAATTATTCATCTAACATTTATCTTTTCTAAAGTTATATTATGTTTTTTCATCCGCACATGTTTCTGGATATTTTTATTATGTTGAAACCCACACCGTTGTCTGAGACCATGTCTACAGTAAAATCATATTCAGCTATATACGTGATAATATCGAAGAACTGATGGGAAGTTTTATTTGCTTTTTAAAATACGTGGTTCATTTCTCTATTAATTGTCTTTAGTTTTCGGCTTCCTCCTTTAAAACCTAACTTTATACACTCGTGTTTTGTTTCTTACTATCGTATTTCAACATTTCTAAGTCCATTATTTATTCTAAACGATATTCTTTTTCTTTTTTTCATCTTACTCTCACATTATGTATATTTTGAACATGCTGGTGTATATATATATATATATATATATATATATATATATATATATATATATATATAATAGCTTATATATGTTTTAACATACATATATATATATTTCTATTAATATGATTATATATATATATATATATATATATATATATATAACATGCTTATATATATTTTTAACATGCATATATACATTTCTCTTAATATGATTATATATATATATATATATATATATATATTAACATGCTTATATATAACTATTTTAACATGCAAATATATATTTCTCTTAATATGCTTATATACATATATATATATATATATATATATATTAACGTGCTTATATATAAAAATTTTAACATGCATATATATATATATATATATATATATATATATATATATATATATATATATATATATATATATATATATATATATATATATATATATATATATATATATATATATATATATAATTCCCTTCATCGTAACTGTCTGTGCCTATCTATATAACATTTTCACACACTTGTGTAGTGGTTAACAAGTACATCCTGTGTATCCCTATCAGGGAAAGCGGTGCTCGGATTTCTGCCTCTGAGTTTTATTTACAGCAATATATAACAAAGCAACATTAAGCCAATATCTGAATTATCAAATGTATATTTATCTTACTATCTTCAAGTATTTAACATTTTTCTGAATAGCTTAAGTAATAAATGGTATTGATATATGTATGTGCCATGTTCAAAATCGAGGAGGAAAACGTGCCATCTCTCTTTGAAAAAAGTATGCGATCTTTTCATGAAATTTCGTATACTCAACGTTGACTTCTGAAACTATTTCATTTAGAGAATGTCGGATAGCTTTAAATGTCTAAATCGAAAGAAGGAATACATATATATATATATATATATATATATATATATATATATATATATATATATATATATATAACGTAGGGTGCGAGAGAGAGAAAGAAATTTTAACAGAGATATAGATAGATAGATAGATAGATAGATAGATAGATATGAAATGTTTGCGCTAAACTACAAAGCTATACCTGAATACTTACATCAAGGCAATAACTCTTGTCGTACTTGATTTTACTTAGCTGATTGAATATAACACATAAACATTGGAGACATATATAATATTTATCTTTGTTCACAGTAGCGATTGCTTTAGAAATGTGCATGTACTTTATCTATTTCTATGTCTTTTCTATGTCTCTCTAAAAATATTTAAAATACTCAGAAACACACAAGTATACGCATACACACACGCATACATATATTCAGGAAGGCATTTATATATAGATACACACGCACACATAAATATATACGCACCTACATACATACATATATATATATATATATATATATATATATATATATATATATTGGTAGACAGATCCAGCAAATTAGTCATGTATATTTACGATTTTCGAATTATCATCAACATATATAGTTAGATAGATAGATAGACAGACAGACATAATTCTATAGTTAAATAATATTAAATTATTGACACGTTGTACTGCACCTTTCTTTTTAAGCGTACTCTGTTTTAAACGATCTATTTTATTTATATTCTTTTTCTTAAAGATATTATACACGGCATTGTATCTTGGCGTGTACGTATGTATATTATGCTAAGCCGAAATCGGTTTTCTGAGCGACTACGACCGTATACGTCTGAATATGCGGCCGAGGACCGCACAATGATTTGACACTGGATCTATGGGTCTTCGAATCTGACTCCCAAGCCTCCGTCCTTCGGGACCCTTTACTGGTCAACTGGCTGCTAACTGATCTTTGATCAAGAGAAACGGATGTTAAAATTAACTTCCTTTGGAGCCTGACCAAGCTTCGCACATATCGATCGGTCTTGTAATGCGGTGGTCGCACCTCGGAGCCTACCACATCATCTACAACCCTCCAGCTTCTCCTCCCCCTCCTCCTCCCCTCGTACTTTCGGTTTCTCCGTCACATTGTGTCCGTTGTCGCCGCCGTTTCTCCTTGCTTTCAGTCTATCGTCGATCGTAGTTGATTTTTCGCTGCTCCGTTTTCGATTTCTCTCTCTCTCGAACTTTCTTTTATCTGTAGGCCATAATTCCCTACCGATTGTTCTCTCGCACACACACACACACACACACACACACACACACACACACATATATATATATATATATATATATATATATATATGATTATTTTTCTATTTAATCTTAATATAAATTTACCAGCAGTTTTCAAAGACATGATTGCAAAAAACTACCAATAGATTTGACATAATATGTTTATAGTTGTACAAACATACAGTTACTCATTGAAGAATGAATTCACACTGGTTTAACTCGTACTCCCTTCCACATATACGTATATATATATATATATATATATATATATATACTCACACCTACTTCTACTTGTGTTTGTGTGTGTGAGCATGTTTGTTTAAATGAACACGCGTAGGTGTGTATATTTTCTTATATTTATATTACAATAGATTTTAATGTGTTTTAATGAATTTGTATACACGTTGCTATAATACAGAGATAACAATTTTGAAAGGCCTTCTGATATTCTATAATCGTCTCGGTCATTTTACTAAGACGTTTTGGCAAATTACATATTCTGGCCGATGAAATGGGTATCTAACAAATGCGTGGCCACTTCTGCGTGGAAAATGATTACATTTACTTATTAATGATGAAGTCTTTCTGCAAAATCATCCGCTCATAAACAGACTCAGGCAAAGGATGTGGAAGAGTCACAGATAACCGCTGTGCATATGCCTGTATCTCAAATCATTTTTCTTTTACATTTCAAGAAAAGCTAAAACTGCAGATTCGCATATACACAGACACATAAAGGAATGAAGACTTACTTGTATATTTCGGAATTATGATTTACCACAACACAGAGACTTACATGAACAGACTTAACATAACACTATGGATAAATACAGAGCTAGTACAGAAATGTTTTGATAGATATAGAAAGTGGAATACTCTGTGATGAAGTGATACGCACTCACACACACACAATATATATATATATACACATATATATATATATATATATATATATATATATAAAAATACCGCGACAGATAGATATGATCAGACGGACGTCGCCAGTGAAATAGGAACCTACTGCGAGAGATAGAGGTGAACTCTCAACGATGAATATCTATGCATCTGACTCAGAACAGCGGCAGACAGATAGAAAAATAGATACACCGATAAATTTTGAATGTCGGCAATTCAGATAATCTGTTTGAAATTCGTGGGTAGAGAACATCTAATATCTTGTTAATAAATATGAAAATTTACACATTTATTCAGTCACATTATATGGTGTTCAAAAATTTCGGATCTCTCCTGATTCCTATCACACACACACACACATATATATATATATATATATATATATATATATATATATATATATATATATTAGGGATAGTTAAAGGTTCAAGGTAGGAAACGGTGAAACAGATTTTAAAAAAAAAAAAATATCAGATTTTGTTAAGCGGTTCCAGCCGACAATGCTTCGGCATTTACTACTGTGTTTATGTATGCTACGCTGTGGTACCAATATAAATAGATATACGTATAACAGCCTGTCTAAAACCAATACAAGTATATATGTTTTTTCTTTCTCTAATAAATGGGTTGCATTCCAATATACAAGCGCAAACATTTTTTTATATCTTTGGAAAGAGATACATGTGCACTGCAAGCTAAATCCGTAGGCGAGGGTGCGTGCATGATAAAAAAGACATTTCTATACTTCTGAACATGTGCAAACATATCTTAACACACCGCAGTCATTTACCAAAGCATGCTCTCAACATGTACGCACCCATGATATATATATATATATATATATATATATATATATATATATATATATATATATATGTGTGTGTGTGTTGGTTGTCAGGTTTTTAAGAAGGTTTTACAGAAGTAGAAGGATTTACTGCTCATAGTATTAGAAAGCCAAGCAAAAAATATCCGAATCGTATATTACTTGTTTATTATATGTAAATGAAATGAAAGCCTGAGAAATTGAATTGATATTTCATGAGATCGGTTGAACTGAATTGTGTATGTTCCGATAAAAACCTGACATAAAATAATAGCCTAAAATTTATACTCCCTTTGCGACGCCAATAATGCTTAATATATGATGATTTTCGGAATTACTTTCATTTCTATTATTAAGAATATCTCTATCTATTACTTGTAAATATATCTTTCATCCATTTGCGACATCACACTGTCTCGCTCGATGTGAAATTACCAAATTGATATGTATGTTTGTGATTACTCTTATATATGTACATATATGGAGAGAGAGACATATCGATATATCTTGATGTATATATAGACATAGGATTCTATAAATATATAACAACAAAGTACGTGGCTAGATAGTGGTTACTACTATAACACACATTTTATATAAAAACACGTGTAGGTATAATCCATACATACACGCAGAAAAAAAATTGACTAATTACGTATTCACAAACGATCATTAGAACCACATGCACGCATACACACACACATACATATATTATATATATATATATATATATATATATATATATACTGATAAACGTCGCTTACAAACGTCTTCATTTTACATATACAAAGACATGTTTTGCCGATTTTCCGTAAGGATTTCTTCGATTCTATGCGAAATGTGTTCGACGACATGAAATCGCATGCGTACACCCACAAACTTGCTGATCTCAAGAAATATCTTCACATCTACTAAATTTTACACTTTGTTGTTATATGGAAGCATACTGACAAACACGTGTCTGTCCGTACTATAACAGTATAAATTCGGGTTTCATGTACACAAAAGCGTCTGGGTACCTAGGTTTACTACTACTACATGCAGAGATATACATACATACATACATAAATAAATGCATGCATACATACATACATAAATAAATGTAGAGATAAAATAAGCTTTAAATCGTCTGGCACAAGTCTACAAAACTGGGCAGCGAATCAGGATCGAACTACTACATTAAAGATATTTCTTGTAAATTATATTTCTACGAAAGACATCCTTTATATACACGCTTATATGAATATATGTGTACATATACTGTATACAGAAACATATTTCTATACCAAAATATACAATACTGGACACGTATACGGATATATGTTTAACTACAGGAACACATATACAGGTATTTGTTGTTAAGTGTACATTTATATATTGCTGAGCGGGGGAGTTATGAAAAAGATATCTAAAAAAATTCCCCCAAAACAGATAATTGTGTGTGGCTTGAGGCAGATGGGGTGCGTATGATACGTAAGTACAAACCGAAAAACCCATAAATGAATAAATGAAAATAAGTGTGCCATTAAACCTTTGATGTATGTTAGTATTAATTAATGTGTGCACTAACCACAGACACGTGGGCACGGGCGCACACATAACACACACGCACATCGGTTCACTCTCTCTCTCTCTCTCTCTCTGTGGCTCACTCTCAAACACACGCGCGTGCGCACGGACACCCACCCACCCACACACACACACGCACAACAGAGGTAGATTATTGTTCACTATTCTTATCACTCATTTGGGAGTTTCCTTCAACTTAGATACTTTTTTTTTTCGTCATTTTTTATCGTGGGGCTAAAAAAAGACTCTTCAGTCAATTTTGCAGGATTTTAGAAGCATCAGGAATTTAAACATATACCATTCTCTCTTCACCCTCGTAGATGTAATATTCTTCTTAATTTGTCACAATAAATTAGTTACTGGAAAAATAAAATAATACAACTCATACTTCTTTAGTGTATATACCCTAAAACGATGTACGCGGACACACATGCATTGCTTGATTTCTCTGCATATATATATATATATATATATATATATATATATATATATATATATATATATATATATGCAGAGAGAGATAGAATGTAATGCATGTGTACATATATATATACACATGCATTGCTTGCTCTCTCTGTATATGTATATATATATATATATATATATATACACACACACACTCTCAGAGGGAAAGTTTTATATTATATATATATATATATATATATATATATATATATATATATATATATACATGGTGCCTATCTCAGTCTACTGTGAGGAAAAAGTATAATAGTTTAAACATATCAACACGTGCAATATTTACTAATAATAATAATTGCTGCGACAACCGGGAACCTGAATTAACTCACCTGGTGTTGTCAACTTAATTATGAGAAATAAGGAAAATGTCAACTGATATAGTGAGGATGAAGAATAAAGGGATCGTTAGTAAATATTTATTTACATGTTTTTTTTTTCGTTTATTTGTTTTTGTAAATCATTTGGACACAAATGAAGGGGGCGACAGCGGGGGTCAACAACTCACCTTGACGTGGAACATACACATTAAGCTTTAAACAATCCTCCTCTTGGTCAACCAACAAGGGTCTTATCCTTCGTAGGTATTCCTTTCTATATTTTGGGACTTTGGCGTCCTTTAGAGCACTTTCATCCATTAATTTTTGTGGACAAACCGGCGGCCTTTTTAACACGGGGGATGTTCCGTCCCATCGGAACGGAGGGTTTCCGGGTGGCATAAAGCGCATCGCATCCTTTCGGAATGAGGCGTAAGGTATTCCGAGGTAAGCATCCACGGGCCGTAGAAGAAGATCCTTACGGAAAAGAATCTGGACCCCACGGATTTTACCGTACTTCGTTTCGATAATCCGTTCACTGATGATCTTATCGAAAGCGTCCTGGGCTCGGGCACTTTCGGTCACCAGGGTAATTTCAAGCGTGGCGAGTAGCAATGACAACTGAATGAGTAAAAGGAACTGGGTAGATAGGCGTAAAAGACCAAAAGTATATCCTTTCCGTACAGAATTGTCGCCGAAATTCACAGTAGAAGATCCAGAAGACGAAGATGACGAAACTCCGGACACAATCATTGTGGCCCGAGATATAAAAAAAATAACTTGGTTAATATATATATATATATATATGTATATATATATATATATATATATATATATATATATATATATATATATATGTTTGTATAAAAGTTATATATATATATATATATATATATATATATAAAATATATATATTGGCAAATTATATAAGAAGCGGGTTGCAATTTTTTTCCGATGGAAACTACATAAGGATTCTGTGTTTAATATAGAAAGTATTAATTAAGACGAAATTATAAAATCCGTTGTGAATTAGCTGAATGCAAAGTATCGTAGCAGAGCTGATGCTGGCCGACGTGTATAAGTCGTAGACTGTAGTCCACTGTGTAGAGTTGTACAGGTCTTCGTTGTCTAGTTGGTGATGTTGTAGCTGTTGTTGTTGTTGTTGTTGTTGCTCATCCTCATAGTCGAGATGGAGTTGTTGTTCTTCCTTCTTTGCTTCCTATATTCCTACTTTAGTTTTTTGTTCTGGGTATAAGTAAAAGAAAAAAAAGAAAAAAGAAAACTATAAAAAGAAAAAAAAACAGAAAAAAGTATAATTAATTATATTAATAATGATAATGATTAATATTATCACTTAAAAAAGGGTCGATGTGTATGTAGAACGATTATTCAAATTCAGTCATTATTATTCCTTTAGCGGCGTTATTTGGCTATTGTGAAAACAGTGTCACACTTAGTTTGAATGTTATTTCTTTCTTGTAACTGGGGGAAAACTTTCCCTATCTTAATAGTATTTTTTAAAATGTTTATTAGCGAGTTACTTACTTAATTTTTCTACTGTCAATGAAATCTTTTTTTTCGTCAAATCGTCGCTGCCTTTTCGCGATGATTTCGTCGTGTTTGGTTCGTTACTACTCTGGTAGGCCCGGCGAATTTATTTAGTATGAACAGTGTGGAGCTGCTATCATTACTATCGTCATCATCATCAGTGATTATTTTATCATCATAATTTTTTCACCACGCTTGTCATCATCGTTGTCATAGAAATAGTAGCATTAGTTTGAATTCATCCCTAGCAGTAGTTTGAGTATTAGCAGTAGAAATTGTTATGATATTAAATTCGAGTAGCAGTATAAAGTGCAGTAGAGGTGAGAGTAGTAATAAACGGTTACGAGAGAAGGGGCTGAAGAAGCTGAAATAATGGCAGCAGTTGCAGTAGAGGCATTAGCAGAAGGAATATAGGAAGCTGTTGTCAAGTTCGTCGTCATCTTCATCAGTTATGGTTGCGATACACTTTGTTATTGAAGAAGCAGAAGCAGTCATAGTATTTATGATTCTGTGAGCCACCCATTACTTGACAATTCTTATTATCTATCTTACTGAATATGCTAGTTTCGACTTTTCTTTCAATTTTTAAGTTTTTATAATTATCAAATGAAGTTGTTCTTTTGTAGTACGACTGATGGCCGCTTAACCTGGCGATGAGCAAAGGGACAAAGCGAGATAGCAAAATGTAAATTTAACTATAAAACTTACTATTTTGAGATATTATTTTGTTTATATATTTAGCTCGTTGCCACTACTTTCTCATTAAGTACAAAATGATGCTTCTTCTTTTTAAACTTTTTCACAGACACCGGTTAAAAAAAAAATACTTTAGATGTATGACTCGACCGTGTGTTTAAATTTAAATATTTCTATTACATTAAAATATAATTACTGCTAATTTAGACAGTCCATTTTCAGAAAGATGATCAATCCGATGTTTTGGCTTGTTCAAATGTACACCACTTTGTATGTGTGTAATCATTTATGAAAATTAATGAATATTTGGACAGATAAGCTCTATTTTTTTTTTTTTTTTTTGCTGAGATTATGGACAAGAGAAAATGAGCGTAGGTGAATATGTGCTTGCTATTTTTTTTCAAGAACATGAATAAAAGAATCATTTTCATGCGTCTTAACTGTATTACTTAGGTAGAACTTTCAGGTTCTCCTTTGGTACACACAATGCCTAATACAACATGTGCTTGTATAAAGGCATATTTATAATGCAAAACCTGCGCAACGTTAAAAAATTAATTGTTAATATGTACACTCATTCATAATATATACACATTTGTGTGTACTTGTGTGTGTGGGTGTGTGTATGGGTGAAAAATATAGAATTCGTCGTCTTTGTATTATAAGACATTTTATCAAAGGGTTTGTGCGCATGTATGTGTGTTTATGTGATTGTGAGTGTATCACGGATTTCTGTTTGGAAATTACTCAGCTAGATAGATTTCAAAATATTTTTAATATATATAAAAAGCAGGCAAACCAGGACATACGTGTTAATATAAGTAAAATAGGTGATATTTGAATTCACAATGTACTGTCATAAACTACAGTTGGTTTGCTGTGTGAATGTTTATATATGTAAATACAAATGAGGGACTACTGTTTGAGACCTAATCAGAAAAAAAAATTAACCAAAATTATGAAAAAAGTACCAGGATATTGGATGGTCCAAGAATCTATCAAATTATACTCTTGTGCGGATTTATATAAATACTCACATACAGATTATATATATATGTATATATATATATATATATTTGAAGGGCTTTTTTATTCGACACTACATGTTGTCACAACCGTTATTTAAATTTTAAGAAAATCCTACAAAACTAAAATAGACAAAGACACTCATATACATTGGCATGTTAAAAGCAAGTGTATAACTATATATGTATATATATATATATATATATATATATATATATATATATATATATATATGGTCTCAGGGGTAAAGTCAGCTCCAAAATTGCTAGTAACCGATCGATATTCGATTAAAATGTACAGTAATTACTAAAAGAACGCAAGTTTGATTTGTTAATCAATGATTGTTTTAAATATTAATTTTCCGGGTTAATTTAATCTTAGTCAAATACGTCGTTTATATATATATATATATATATATATATATATATATATATATATATATATATATTCGTGTGTGTGTGTGTGTGTGTTGGGGGATATTTACTTGCATAAGCCGTATTTCCTGATTGTTCACTGTTTTGGATGAACTCCCTTACATTTTTTTTACGCTAGAAAACAGATAAAACATAATTTAAAGTGAAGAAAAAGTGAACAATTTACATAATTGGTTTGTTATATCATAAACAACGTATGATTCTACCCTGTTAGGGAATAAAAGTAAGAAAAAAAAGCATATCTCAATCCTAAACATCTGATAAGTTTGAACAAAGAACTCTGTTACAATGTTGTATATTATAATCTGAAAAAGATCATCGCTGCAATGGTTCACTAGAAACTTACGTTCTTGATTAATATATTCGTGGTGTTGACCGAATTTATTCTTAGCAATTAGATGTATATGTGTAATGCAGAAGAGAACTTAATACAGTGTATAAACAGAAAAAAAAAATTAAAATCTTAGTAGCATATTACTGATAACCCCAGAAGAGTGGACAGATATGTTCGCCTACGAAACTCTGGAGTCGGGATGTTGAAGGAAACATGAATCAGCTGAGTGACAAATTTTATTCACATTAATCACTCACTCTCTCTCTCTCACACACACACACACACACACACATACATACATACATACACACACACACATATATATATATATATATATATATATAAAAATTTTAAACTAGCTTGATCATGTAGATCCTCATATGAAACTTGTTATGTGTTTATAGGAGAAATGCAGATAGATTTTTTAACCCATATGGGTTTCAAAATCAAAGATTTGAACTAACGGTCGATTGCAAGCATATTTCGCCTTTGAACTTACGATTTTTTTAAATATTAAAATTTAATAATCACTTCATTTATGATGAATAACCTTGTGGTAAACATTTTGAAATATTAAGTAAGATTTTCTGAGGTAGTACATTATGTACGTTATTCCTCTAACATTACTTGTAATATTTTATATAGAGGTATATAGGTTCGGCTGACGGTTGACCATTTTCTATTGTTTTGTTTTATTAATACAACATAAAATCTGCTTGTTAATTGTTATAATCTGTTTAGTATAATTTTATATAATTTACTATCGTATTATTTCATTTATATGATTTCTTTATATGAGCTGTGTACTTTTATGTTTTGGTTAGTTCATTTATTTATTATTTTGATATTATATTCTATTATTCTGTTTTGTAATTCTGAAAATTTTGTCCTTTTTGCCGTTTTTTTTATTTCTTAAAGAGTCTCTTTATATTCATATTATGGAATAATTATTTTTAAATTATGCTGCATCTTCAGTGAAAATGTCAACCATTCGTTTGTTGTTATATTGTATCAAAAGTCTGTTTCAAATCGACCGTAAGTATCCGTTGAATTTTGATTCTATGTTTTATGACATCTTACATAACATAGACCATTTTGATTGGTTGAACCGATTATCAGCATATCTTCTATGGCTTTTTTTACATTTCTATATCATCCTTATATTTATCTTCCCTCTTTATTTCATTCGGAGAAGAGACTGTATCATGTGACTTTCATTCCTTTTTGCTCTTCTTATTTTTCTATTTTTAGATGAGATTATATCTTTTTTTTTTCTTTTCTTTTTTCGACTGTATTTTGTGTCTTTATTTCTTCTTTTCTTTATAGAGGAGACTATATCTTATACATTTCTTTCTGTTCTCGTTTTTTTTTCTTTTTTCGTAGAAAAAGGGTAGTTGTTTTTATGTAGATATTAAAAATTTTAATAACACACATTTATCAGCGCCCGATGATATACGATGATATTCATCGAAACATGAAGGCATTTTTATAGAGGTTTTACATATGTTCGAATGTAGTGTCGTATAATCGAATTATCGGTCTACTTTTGTATTTAGCCATGTTTTTAAATTAATGTTTTGAACGTGTGAAAATCTATTTGATTCCTCTTCATTTCATGTCCATATTTGCTTCTCATAGGTTTGATGAGTCTACAGTTCATTTAATATGCGATCATGGATAGAACTTATTTCGCTAATATCATTTCCATCGCAAAAAACGGGAATATTTGGAGAAATTGGTCCTAAAGACCGAAGATTTAATACGAACAACGAGAAGAAAAGTCTACATCTTTCTTAAGGACCTGGATGTTTCAAAGACAAAAAAATACGTATGGATTTAAGAATTTAAAGACTGCATATCTCACTGACAGTTTACACGGCTTTGAGATAGATCTCTTAAATATTAACAACATTACTTTTCATAAACCAAAAAATAATTTCCGAAAGACTTGGATACATTGGTTATGGATATTAATAAATCTGATCAAATTTTAATAAAATCTGTCAAAACCACGAACTTTTATGAAATCCATCCTAATGATTATATGGCATTGATTATAAATAATTCAACCAATATTTATGTAAAAATAAATATTCATAATTTTAATTATTTTGATCATATCAACACTTCTTCTAAATATATTACCGAGAAACTAAAAAATCTGTAAAAGTTTTGGTAAACTTTGGGCAAAGGAATCATATGAACTCCTTAAAGAGCACAAACCGTAGTTAGAGAACAAACTCGCACAAGAATTATAAATCTGACCAGATCAGAAATCGGAAGGATTTGTAAAGTAAGACCAGAATGCGTAAATAAACAAATTAAAAATCTTGGACATTCAACAGATAGTCACCACTGAAGTTATTAACTTGTGTAAAAACATCGATAACAAAATCTATGCCATCATCCAATTTCATATAGTGGACATTTACCCTTCAACGTCCCAGGACTTCTTTACAATTGAAATTTGCCAAAATTTTTCCCAAATTTTGAGTAAAGAGATAAACATCATTATGAATTGTAGGAAATCAGTCCTCATCCTCTTAAATGAACCGTGGGTAAAAAAAATTCTGACGATAAATTTAACTTTCCTATGGGATCGTTGGGTTCTGCGGAATCTTCTGATTTGGTTGGATTATTTATTTTGTATAATCTTATTGTTTATTGCTTTTGAAAATATTACTGTAGATAGTATATGGCTGTATATGGATAGTGTTCTCATGATTGTAAAAGTCTACGACTAATAAAGTTGATAAACTTACGTAAATGATTCATAGGGAATTTAAGAATTTAGATCTTAACGTGTAAATAAGTACTAATGTCAAACAAATTGATTTTGTAGGTGTAACATTAAATTCATTGTTGGAAAATTTTCAGCCTCATATGAAGAACAATTTCTACCCAATTTATATCCATCCTAATTCCAGTCACCCACCATCTGTTATCCGACATATTC